TGACTATACAGTCAATGGTCAACAATATTTATGTAATCACTATAATATAAGCACGGTTTATTGATTCTCAGTTTTAGAATATATCTGTAAATAAAGCATAGAAGATTCAAATACAGTTACAAAACAGAAATAAGGTAATTACTGATAGAGCACGCATGTGCAAGGTGTTGCTCTAAATACTTTACACCTAATCCTCACAATACTCATACAGTATGGTTATTATCCCTACTTAATAAGATGAGGAAATTGAGGCATTGAGAAATTAACTAACTTGCCCAAGGTCATACAACTAGAAAGTGGAAGAACTGGATCCAAATTGAGATAGCCTGGTTCCAGAGTTCATGTTCTTAACCATTATACTATGCAGCCTCTCAGAATATAGATGTTATCAACCTTGACGATACAAAAAGTAAAAGTACAGGTAACACTCCATTCCCCACAGATATTGACGCAACCTATCAGAATTCCAAAAGTAGCCCATCAGAATGCCAAAAGTAGAAAATTTTGAGGGTAGTACTCATAAATGCAAGGGAAAAAACTGATTTCTTTACTTTCTACAATGTTAATCATGGTAGATTCACATGATCGCCCAAGACTGGAGCCCAAACAAACCCTTTACATCGTGAACAAAGAGATAGTGTCTCCAGTTGATAGAACAGAATAGAAAGGCTTAAATATATTGAAGAAATTGAAAAAATAACCAAAAGATAAACTCAAAACAGTGATACAAGTGTGGCAGGGCAGGAGTGGGAAGGAGGACATGATGAGCTATGACCTTATCTGTTATAGCTGGAAGGCAATTTTAGATATATAACATCTAAAACTGATAAATGAAGAAACAGTAGTATAAGTGTATTATTTAGCCATATGGCTAAAAATTACTAACAGAAGTAAAATATAAGCAGTTAGATTCCCAGGGTAACAGAATGAGTAGGGAGAATTAGATCAAGGGATTCATTTTTCAGTATGTATCCTTTTAATAATTTAATAATTTGTTACTCTGATTAAAAAAAAAGAGAACATTTGACACATACTAGTTGATTTCTTTCTTTAAAGCTGCCTTGAACTAGAAGAATATTTTTGATATCACCTAGCCAGCCAATTCACTTTACAGTTTATATGTGGCAGACTATATTTTCTACAGATGGCCACACCATTATATCCCATCCACATGTTCTTCTTACAACATGACACTGTCACTCCTCCAACAAAGGTGGGGCCTATGTTCCCACCACTTAAATCCAGGTGGACCCACAGGAGAGGTTATTTAGCAGGATCACACACACACACACACACACACACACACACACACACACACACAAAGAGAGTGAAAGGGAGAGAGGGAGGGAGATGGGGATATAGAGGGAAGAGAGAGTGAAAGGGAGAGAGGGAGGGAGATCGGGATATAGAGGGGAGGAAGGAGAGGAGAAGTCAGAAAGAGATGTATACCTGAAGAATCTTCCTGGCCCAGGTATCAGACTTATCAATGAGCCTTCAGATTCTCAACAGCCAATACAGTGGCCACTAGTCACATGCAGCTATGCAACTAATGAAATTAAAATTGAATTAAATTTAAAATCAGATTTTCAGTCATACTAGTCACATTTCAAGTACTTGATGGCCACATACGGCTAGATTCTACTGTATTGCACAGGGTAGATGCAAAGCTTTTCCATCATTGCAGAAAGCTCTATCTGTAGTGCTATTTTAGATAATTCCACCCTCACCACCTTCAAGCTGCCCTGCTAATGCCAGGTGGAACAGAAATGAACTCTTCCACAGAGCCCTGCTCAAAATGCAAATCCGTGAGCAAAATAAGCGTGTTTTCACTCACTGCTTTTTGGGGTGATTTGCGACACAGCCATGGTAAAATGAACACATGGAAACTAAAGCTCAGAATGCGAAATAATCTGCTACAGTTTGGAAGTCCACAAAATCAGGGTGGAACTAATCACATTTCAATTCAACGCCCAATAAATGTTTGTGAATAAACAAACAAGGAACTTCTCAATATTTGAGCCCTAGCTCTTTTCTAACTTCAAGTAGTCCACTATCATCCCCCAGGAAAGTTGTATCCTCTACTCCAGAAAAAAAGTTTGATGTTTCCTAGCTCTGAAAGAACAACAGAAATCTCAGAAATGTCAACATTCATGAATTTGTGACTGAAAACACGTCCTAGCTTATTTTGTTTACTAGAATCACCATTGGAGTTAGGTGAAGCTCCACTTGCTCTTCCAGTGTTTCTACACTGGTCTTTACATTTTGAAATATTTTGTTTAAGTCTTACAATTTTTTCTTTCTTTCTTTCTTTCTTTTTTTTTATTTGAGACGGAGTCTTGCTCTGCCCAAGCGGGAGTGTAGTGGCTCGATCTTGGCTCACTGTGACCTCCGCCTCCTGGGTTCAAGTGATTCTCCTGCCTGAGCCTTCTAAGTAGCTGGGATTACAAGCAAATGCTGCCATGCCTGGCTAATTTTTGTAATTGGCCAGGCACTGTGGCTCACAACTGTAATCCCAGCACTTGGGAGGCCGAGGTGGGCAGACCGTTTGAGCTCAGAAGTTCGAGACCAGCCTGGGCAACATGGCAAAAACCCATCTCTACCAAAAATACACACAAAAAAAAATTAGCTGGGCATGAGGCTTTGTGCCTGTAGTCTCAGCTACTCGAGAGGGTGAGATGAAAGGATTGTTGGAGCTGGGGAAGTTGAGGCTGTAATAAGATGTAATAGAGCCAAAAAAAATTTGAAGAGTCAAACAAAAAAAACTTTGAAAGTATCTACCAATATTAACCAAAAGCTTTCTCTTTTAAATGCTCCCTTTAAAAGCAAAGTATTTTAAATAAAGTAATTTTTCTTTTTTTGAGACAAAGTCTCGCTCTTGTCGCCCAGGCTGGAGTGCAGTGGCGTGATCTTAGCTCACTGCAACCTCCACCTCCCAGGTTCAAGCAATTCTCCTGCTTCAGCCTCCGATTAGCTGGTATACAGGCATGCACCACCACACCCAGCTGATTTTGTATTTTTAGTAGAGACGGGGTTTCACCATGTTGGTCTTGAACTCCTGACCTCAGGTGATCCGCCTGCCTTGGCCTCTCAAAGTGCTGGGATTACAGACGTGAGCCATGGTGCCCAGCCAAATTTTTTTTTTTTTTTTTTGAGACAGGGTCTTGCTCTGTTACCCAGGCTTCAATGCAATGGCACAATCATAGCTCACCACAGCCCTGACCTCCTGGGCTCAAGTGACCCTCCTGCCTCAGCCTCCCAAGTAGCTGAGACTAAAGGTGCACATGATCATGCCCAGCTAATTTTAAAAAGTTATCTGTTATACAGACAGGGTCTCACTATGATTCCCAGGCTAGTCTCAAACTCCTGGGCTCAAATGATCCTCCTGTCTCAACCTCCCAAAGTGCTGGGATTACAAGGTGTGAGTCACTGTGCCTGGCCAAAGTACAATTTTTAATAACTTGAACTAATGCAAGTTACAGACTTGAAGAGTCAGGAAAATAATTTGGGATTTAAGAGGATTTCCATCTAAACATGAATGTAACAAATATTATGAGATTTTATTTTAAATAATGAGTAATGTTACATTGAAACAACCTGGGAGGTGGCACAGACTCCTCATCTGACCTTAGCACAAAACTGGGCTTCGTGTGCAGACACAAAGTTTCCAGCCAACACAAGCCTAAGCAGGCATGCCATATTGAGATTTCCACATATAAAATTAGGTGATTAAAGAATTAGTGTTAATTTTCAAACTGTAAAATTGGTCTAACAGCTATGTTGGTAAAGAGTTGTCTTTTAGAGATACATGTCAGTATTAGGGACAAAACAGTATCAAGAGATTTGCTTGAAATTAAAACAGAGCTGGGAGTGGACAGTGTAGGAGGGTATAGGTAAAATAAGGGTAGCCATGAAGTAGTGACTGCAGTAACTGCTTATGGCTGGTTCATTATATTCTTCCCCTTTTATACTTAATAATGTCCACAGTAAAAAAGTTAAAAACTGAACAACAAACAGGCTTCTCTAGTTAAATGTTTTGGTTTGAAATGCAAATTAAGGGTTATCAGAGTAGGAAATGGGAGCAAGTAGAATTCCAACTATTATTGAGAAGGACCAAAATGTCAGAAATAATCACAAAATGCTTCTGATGTATAAAAATAATTGTCACTCTAGCACATATACACAATTACTCTCGAATGAGGGTTACAGTCACATTAGCTGACTCATACTTTACAAAGAATGCTAATGTGTGTGGTTACTGAATTTCTGAGTACACAGCCAGTAACTAGAAGGGATGCTAATCAGGAGCTCAATACCAGCCTGGTAACTTAGCCAAATCACTTAATCTTACTTTTCTCCACAGAAAAGTGAGAGGGGTGGCTACATTAACAGGCTTGCCTTGATGACTGGAACAGATAACTATGAAGTATCTCGGAAGCAGACTGTCCAACTGCAGCCAACAACTTGCGTACAACCTTATGGGAGACCCTGAGCCAGAACCACCTGGCTCAACTGCTCCCAGATTCCAGGCTCTCAGAAACTACATGAAATAATACATGTTTATTGCACTAAGTTGCTATGTTTTGGGGTAATTTGTTACACAGTAATAGATAACTAATACATCATACTTAGGATACAATTTATCTATTATTTGACCAGCTAACTTTTTTTCTAAATACAGTCATTGAACCTCTTTGCTATGTTAATTAGATTACACAAGGGAACCCTTTAAATCATCTGAATAGAGTCCTCATCATGTTATAATGACATGCTTATAGAGCAGGATATTATACTCAGTATTGAACTTCTTGAATCTAACCTTGCCTACATATATGTTTGCTGTGAGGGTAAAAATCCAGACCTGTGTGTCATGATTCAGTACCTCAGGCCCTGATCCAATTCTCAGGTCTTACTCTATATGATATATACACTCTATATCTGTATATAAACATAATGTTTCTGCTCTATATTTCAATATTAAGAAAAAGTACTCTTAGTCCTACCTGAATGAGGCATTTGCTCACATCACTAGCACAGAGTGCTTTGTTACAGCTCAATGATGCCGGAAGCCATGTTAGGAACATCAGGATGGCTAGAGTAAGCACAGCCACACAGGGTGACTTCATGTTTCTTCAAAGAAGATGATCAGTAACTCTCAGGAAGCTAAACAAACAAACAAAGACAACTTTAATTCAAAAGCAAGTGCTAGGGTAAAAATAAATACAAAAAAGGAAAAAACAAAACATAAACTAAGACTGATTGTTTGTGTCAATAGACTTTGTCTTTCTTTTTTAGAGTCTCAGCCTCCCAAAGAGCTGGAATTACAGGGGTGAGCCACCGAGCCTGGCCAAAATATTCTTTTAATTCTATTAGTACCACACATTCTAATTCTATTAGGACCACTGAAGTATAGTGGTGTAATCATAGCTCACTGCAGCCTTGAATTCCTGGGTTCAAGTGATCCTCTCACTTCAGCCTCCCAGTTATCTGGGACTACGGACAATATCACCATGTCTGGCCTTAAAAAAACTTTTGAGTGATCATTTAAAGATCACTCTCAATGAAAGATTACATAAACATTCAAAAATAAACAATGATTTTATATAATAATGGCTTCATAGTCATCTTCAAGGACCTAGAACACAAAAATTCCTAAGACTATCCAGAAATGGTGACTATGAAAGCAGAGTAAGTATATGTCAATCCTCAGTAATTTGAGAGTCTATCAGGCAAAACACTAGTTTCAATTCTGCACTGCTACTATTCAACTTGAGTTTTAGGTCCATTATTCAACTCTAAGCCCATATAAAACAATTAATATTGTATTATAATTTTAAGATATTTAATTTTAATTCTTAGAATTAAAAAAAAATTTTAAATGGAAATTATTCTAGGGTCATTTAGACAGCATAAAGCAGCTCAAAGCAAGAAGTAGAGTCCACAGAGTCACTTCTTAAATAATTGAGCAAATAACAAAAGACAGTGTAAAATTATTAACTGTATTAAGAACTCTGGGTAATTATTACAATGTTAAGATCTCTCTTTTTTTTTTTTTTTTTTTTGAGACGGAGTCTCGCCCTGTCGCCCAGGCTACAGTGCAACCCGCCTCCCAAGTTCATGCAGTTCTCTTGCCTCAGCCTCCTGAGTAGCTGGGATCACAGGTGCCTACCACTGTGCTGGGCTAATTCTGGTATTTTTAGTAAAGATGGGTTTTCACCATGTTGGCCAGGCTGGTCTCAAACTCCTGACTTCAGCTGATCCACCCACCTCGGCCTCCGAAAGAGCTAGAATTTTAATTCCACCGTGTCCGGCCAAGAGATTCTTTTAATTCTATTAGTACCACGCATTCTTCAAAGTTATTAAGAAGACATTACAGTTCAAAAAGGGGGAAAAAGACTAGCACAAATACAGTCTGACAGGGACCAAAGAGTATACACAGTTACTAAACTTTAGAGAAGATATCACTTCGTCAGGTTAAAACACCATCCCATCAAATATAATAAATTAAAATAAATGACTACTGATGTGAGAGGGATAAATAGTGAGTTTATGGGGACATTTATGATTACTCTAAACTTTTATTCTAAGTGTTACAAAGTACAATAAAGGAAAAACAATAAAAGGGTGAAAAGAATAAAGGGCTTTGGACTCGGTATGAGTCAATTTTGAAAGAGAAAGCCCTGGTGATCGTTACTGAAACTCACAAAGCATTCCCTAAAGACCGTTAGTAACCTAATTTTCTAATGTATTTAACGCAGCATACCAAGTAGGATCATTTCTGGAGCAACCAGTACATGTTTGTGGAGGCCAAAGAGGGTATTTGGAAACTAATTTTTGTGGAACTAGTTTTCAACCGACAACCACGAAAACTGGGTTTCCCTCATCTTTTATGGTTGTCTTATAAAGTGTCCATAAATTCACCTTACTCCCCAAATCTCACTGGAAAAAAGTACTAAAGTAACTACGGCTATGTCCAAATCAGGTAGCAGAATTAAAGGACTTATTCTTCCTAAGTAGTTAGAAACCATCACGCATCAAAATTGTTTCGCATACATCACACCCAGTTTCTCGTTAAGGAGACTGCACTGACAGCAACCAGGACAGAGCAGAGCCTCTGTAGAGTGGTGCCAGGGCCCCGAAGGCGCCGGACGCCCAGCGACGCAGAGGCCAGCGGCGGCGCGGGGTCCGGGCACCCGGAATCACCCCCACCCCGGCTCGGCTGACGCGGGCTGCGAAGGACGGTAGCCGGCCCAGAGATGGTCTGGACCGAGTGGGGCAGAGATGCTGCCGAATCCCGGCGTCCGGCCTGTGCGCGCGCGCCCAGAGCCCCCACTTTGTCCTCCGCGCAGCCGGGCCCAGGCTTCTCCCGGCTCCCGCGAAGCTCGCCGCGGGCCCCAGCCTCCAGAGGCCGGAGCTCCGCGCCCGGCCCCTTCTGGGCCAAGAGGCTGCACAACTCCCCCGCCGCTCCCGCTCACCATGCGCTGCGGCCCCGCGAGGTTGCCTGCCCCTAGATCTCCGCCGGGTCGGCCGAGCCCGGGGAGCGCTGTGGCGGCTGTGAGTGCGAGGCCAGGCCGCGCCTCCCGCCGTCCCCTCCGCGCAGCGCCCGCGAGCCTCCGGCACCTTAAAGAGACAGTCCCGTCCGCCGCCCTCCTCCCAGCTCCTCGCTCCCCGCCCCAGCTCCTCTCTTCCCCTCTGCCCTTGCCGAGGTCCACAGCCGCCAGCTCCCGCCAGGAGGCGTCTCCCACTCCCCGGCGCGCCTGTCAGCGCGCACGCCCCTACCTTGGCCCGGTTCACTCCCCGCCCTCCCTCACGCCACGCCCCCAACGCCCCCGGGCCCGCCCCTCCCTCCTGCCACGCCTCTACGGCTATCACAGGCCCGCCCGCCCGCAGGCCACGCCCCCAGGCGCGCCCACCCTGGCCACCCGGCCCGATTTCTCTTCGCGCTTCTCCGCGTCGGGATCCCGGGTCCCTCAGGTTCCGGCAGGCCCTTCTGTCAAGCCCATTCCAGTTCCCCTCTGTTACAGTGTTAAGATCAACAGTGACTCACGATTAAAGCCTTGTAATGTGCTAACCACTACGCTGAGGATGTGCAGTGTGGTAAAAATTCCTCAGGACTCCTCGCAGCTGCCCTGTGAGGAAGCGGCCAGGGCCCGGTTCTAGCGATGCGAGGCCGAGGCTCCGGGCGCTAAGTAGATTTGCGCGTCGCCGAGAGCTGGCACGTTGAACCCTTGTTGTTTGCCGTCAGAGGTAGGATTAATTTAAAATTCGGGTTTCCGAGATCTACCAAGGATCTCGGAGGGCAGAGCTTTCGGAACTTCGATCACCAATTCATTAAAATTGCCGGGCTCTTCGTGAGTGCCTGGCGCTGAGCTTTGCATCTGCAATAGAGAGGAGGGGGGCGCCATGGATCCGAGCGGGGAGGTGGTGCAGCCCAGGTAGAAAGGTCGCAGTTAGCACGTAGGTTAAAAACACTGAGAATGGCACTGAGTTCTTTCCCACAATTCTGGGTTGCTTCTTTTTTATTTATTTTTTCTTTTGAGACAAGGTCTCACTCTGTCACCAGGCCCCAGGGCAGTAACAACATCAGGGCTCGCTGCAGCCCCCACCTCCCGGGCTCAAGCGATCCTCCCGCCTCAACCTCCCGAGTAACTGGGGCTACAGGCGCGCGCCACCACGCCCGGCTAATATTTTACTTTTTTATAGACATGGGGGTCTCGCTATGTTGCCCAAGCTGGGCTCAAATTTCAGGGCTCAAGCGATCTTCCCACCTCAGACTCCTAAATCGTTGGGATGACAAGTGTGGACCATAGTTCCTGGCCAGAATTTGCTTTTTAAAGAACATTCCAGGGTGATTAAGTTAAAGCGCACTAGACCAGACCGTCCACGGGGCACCTTCCCTTGGAAATGTTGACCTAGTCTCAAACCCTTATGCTAGTAAGTCGTAATGCCTTCCACCCCGCTTTGTTGATTGGAAGGAAACAGAAAGAATGAAAACAACTGATTGGCTGAGGGGTAGATTGCATTACTGATGCTAGCCCATTTTTGTGCAATAAATATAGGTTTTAAAAATCATCCTTGATTAGGGAGAGAGAGCATGGGGAGAAATGCCAGATATAGGTGAAGGGGAGGAAGGCAGCAAATCACACTGCCATGTGTGTACCTATGCAACAATCTTGCATGTTCTTCACATGTACCCCAAAATCTAAAATGCAATTAAAAAAAAAACCAACAAACAAAACAAACAAACAAAACAAAACAAAATCATCCTTGAAAATTATCCTAGAGAAATAATTAAGGGTATACCAGAATTTATAAGAATCTTATTCTTGGCATTACATACTAGTTAAGTGAATTAGGAAACTTCTGATCAATGGACTAATTCAGCCATTAAAAATGATATTGTAGATCAAAGGTTCTCAAACTTTTTAGTCTCAGAGTCCCTTTACACTCTTGAAAATTATGGAGCACTCCAAAGAGGTTTTGTGTATGTGTGCTACATCTGTTAATACTTATAAAATTAAAACAATTTTTTTACATATTCCTTTTATTTAAAAATAAACAGTATATGGTAACAAATATTTTATGAAAAATAAGTATATATTTTAAAACAGTAGGCAGAACAGCGTGGTTTTAGATTTTTGCTATTTCTTTAATTTCAAACTTAATAGAAAGCCACTGTTTAGCAATCAAATTCATCATGACTGGGATTTAAAAAAAGAAAAACAAAGAAGGGGGCGGGCGTGGTGGCTCACGCCTGTAATCTCAGAGCTTTGGGAGGCCTAGGCAGGCGGATCACGAGATCAGGAGATGGAGACGATTCCGGTCAACATGGTGAAACTCCATTTCTACTAAAAATACAAAAATTAGCTGGGCATGGTGGCGTGCGCCTGTAGTCCCAGCTATTTGGGAGGCTGAGGCAGGAGAATTGCTTGAACCCGGGAGGCGAAAGTTGCAGTGAGCCGAGATCGCGCCATTGCACTGTTTTTACTTGGACAACAAGAGCGAAACTCCGTCAAAAAAAAAAAAAAAAGAAAAAGAAAAAGAAAGAAAGCCACTGTTTTTACTGCTTCTGTATTCAAACGGTTGCAGTATCTTGTATTATGTAGTCTTCTGAGAAAATGAGAGTGAAAAAGGCAAATAATGCCTTAGAATTAAAATTAAAATAATTTTGGGCTCACAATCCCCTGAAAATGTCTTTAGACCCCCTCCCTAGCAGTCCCCAGATCACACTGTGACAATTAATGTTGCAAATGACTATTACGGCAATGAAAGATATAATTGTTGAATAATTAATTACATCGGCTCATTGCAACCTCTGCCTCCCAGGTTCATGTGATTCTCCTGCTTCAGCCTCCTGAGTAGCTGGGATTACAGGCGCACACCACTACACTTGGCTGATTTTTTGTATTTTTAGTAGAGACAGGGTTTTACTTTGTTGGTCAGGCTGGTCTCCAGCTCCTTGTGATCTGCCTGCCTCGGACTCCCAAAGTGCTGGGATTACAGGATAGAGCCACCAAGCCTGGCCTAGAGTTATTTTTAAAGTGCTGGAAAGATAATGATGGTGTTAGTGGTTATCTCAGTGAGACGGAGTATTATCTTTTGTTAATAATGTTTTTTTCTTTTTGCTTGTCTGCATTTTCTGATGTCTTTACTTGTATTCATTTGATAATAAGAGAAGTAATACAGTTATTTTTCATTTAAATTAACGATTCTCTTTGACAGGACCTGGAAGGTCAAATGATAGTTGAGCCCTCAGGTGAATATGGTGGTTCCATGTTAAATAATAGTGAATAATAGTGGTTCTGGATCTCAAATGGTTGGCCATTTGGGAATTTGGGAACCATGGGGTCACTGCAGTGGCTGTTTTATTTTACCAGAAGACTTTCTAATCATTGCAAGTGAGAGAGTCTGACAACAATGTGATAGAGCTTCTTAGTAGGTTTTGATGAAAAGGTCAAAAGATTCACTCCTAGCCCTCAATCAGATACAGATGTGTCAGTGTGTGCCTCAATCAGATATAGATGTGTCTGTGGGTAGAGTCTCTTAGCCAGCCACAGCAAGGGTATATTCCTTTCCTACTGCTGCTCTAACAAATTACCTCATGTTTAGTGGCTTAAAACAACACAAATTTGGCTGGGCATGGGGCTCACGCCTGTAATCCCAGCACTTTGGGAAGCTGAGTCGGAAGGATGACTTGAGCCCAGGAGCTCAAACCTAGCCAGGGCAACATGGCACAACTCTGACTCTACTAAAAAATAAAAAATAAAATAAAAATAATAAAAATAAAAATTAGCCAGGTGTGGTGGTATCATACATCAGTGGTCCCAGCTACTTGGTAGGCGGAGGTGGGAAGATTACTTGAGCTTGGGATTTGAGGCTGCAGGGAGTTTTGATCACACCACTGCAGCTTGGGCATGGGAGTGAGACCCTGTCTCAAAATATAATAAATAAAATAAAAACAAATTTATTACTTTACAGTTCTGGAGGCCAGGAGTTCTAAAATCAGGGTGTCAGTAGGCCTGTGTTCCTTTTGGAGGATCTAGGAGAGAACTCATTGCCTTGCCTTTCTAGCTTCTGGAGGCCACCTGGAGTCCTTGGTTTGCAGTCCCTCCCTCCATCTCAAGGCCAGCAGATTTAGCGTCTTCAAATCAATACCTCCCTCCTCTTTTTCTCACTCTTTGTCTTAACTTTTCCACCACAGTCACACTCCCACTGTGACTCTGACCCTCCCACCTCCCTCTTTACAATGCCTTGGGATTACGTACAGCCCACCTGTTTAATCCAGGATAATCTCCCTGTCTCAAGATACCTGGCTTAAACGCATTTGCAGAGGCCCTTTTGCCATAAAAGAAAGCATATTCACAGGTTAGGATACAGAAGTCTTTGGGGGTTAGTGGGGCAGCATTATTCTGCCTATCATAGGGATATAACAAGGACAATTGTAGTTTGTGAACTTCTGATCTAGAACTCACTTCTCAAGGCTGGTGGATTATACCCTGTCAATTCTAGGCATCACTTTACACCAGCTAATCCACCGCAGAAAACAAGAAATGAAAAGAGGTTGCTCCTAATTGGTTTGTATTCCCACTTCTAAGCTTCCCCCTGAAGCAGGAGCGGCTGTGAGAAACAGACCTCTCGGACACTGAACTAGAAAAAGAAGAGGTTTTAGTATTACGGCCTGGGAGCAAGGCTTTATGTTTTGTCCAAATGGCCAAGCTCCCCTAACAAAGAGAAGCTCTGCCTTTATATAGGCTTACACTCTAGATATAATGCATGAAAGGATCTTAGGTTTACAGCCTTAGAAATTACAAGTGAAAGGGTCTTGGGTTTACAGCTTTAGAAATCACATATGAAAGGGTCTTGGGTTTATAGTTTTAGGAATTACATGTGAAAGGTTTCTGGTCTCCGGATGGAGGAGGTGGGTGGGGGTTTGATCTTATTTAAGTAAAAACAGTGTCTTCTGGAGAGATTCCCCCCTACCATGCCTGCTATCTTACAGGAAGGTGATTTAGGAGGTGCCAGTCAGCTAGCCTTTTCTATTGAAATGCAATGTGGAAGTCAAGAGGGAGGTGATCCTAGATGCCTGGGTCTCCTTCCTCACCCCTTGCTGGTTCTGTAAGGTGGGTGGGCAAG